GCTGACCCATCAAATTAATTTTTTTTTTAATACACAAAACATTTCTACGTAAGCATGATTTTTTTTATAATTTTCGGTCTATCCGTTTCTACAAAATCGACCTGAAGAAGTCCTTTAGGAAAAGTGGCATTGTTGATAAATAATTTTCATCTGTGGCTCCAATTTGGGTCTGGTATTATCAACATGCTATATGTATTTTTCGATTTAGGTCGTCAAAATTTACCAGTAATAATATTTTGGAGAATTTTTGGCGACTTTGAAAAAAAATTTTTTTTGGATTTTTGATAGAGCTTCAAATTTTTTACTTTCTCTAGGAAGTCTGCAAAAAAATTCCGAAAAATTCGCCATACCCAAGTTCAACCTCGCGAACTTTGTTTATATCAGCTAGTTGAAATTTCTTATCGTTTCACAAAAATTGCCAAAGTGACATACGACAAATTTTGAGATATTCTAAAAATTTGACTTTGAAACCAGTTCTTACAAAAACTAGCAGCCCCATCAAATTCAATTTTTTTTTCTTGATACACAAAACATTTCTAGGTAAGCAAGATTGTTTTACAATTTTCTGTCTGTTTCTCCAAAATGGACTTGAAGATGTCCTTTAAGAAAAGTGCCATCATTTATAAGTAATTTTCATTTTTGGCTCCAATTGTGGTCCTATATTATCAATATGCTATATTTTTCGATTCATCTCGTCAAGATTTACCAGTAAGAATTTTTTGGCGAATTTCTGTGGACTTTGAAAAAAAATTTTTGGATTCTTGATAAAGCTTAAAATGTTTGACTTTCAATTAAAAGTCCCCAAAGAAATTCCAGAAAATTCTCGATGTTTAAGTCTAACCTCCTAAACATTGTTAATATACCAATTTTTTGAAATTTCCTATCGTTTCACACAAATTTTCAAAGTGACGTACGTTAAATTTTGAGATATTCTAAAAATTTTAGTTTGAATCCAGTTGTTACAAAAACTAGCTGCCCTATCAGACTCCTTTTTCTTTTTCTTAATACACAAAACATTTCTAGGCGAGCACGATTTTTTTTACAATTTTCGGTGTATCTGTTTCACCAAAATCGACCTGAAGATGTTCTTTCACAAAAGTGTCATCTTTGATAAGTAATTTTCATTTGTGGCTCCAATTTGGGCCTGATATTATCAATATCATATATTTTTCGATTCATCTCATCAAGATTTACCAGTAAGAATTTTTTGGCGAATTTTTGTAGACTTTGAAAAATAAATTTTTGGATTCTTGATAAAGCTTAAAATTTTTTTGACTTTCTCTTAAAAGTCTCAAAGAAATTCCAGAAAATTCTAGATGCTCAAGTTCAACCTCCTGAACATTGTTAATATGCTAATTTTTTGAAATTTCTTACCGTGTCACAAAAATTTTCGAAGTGACGTACGTTAAATTTTGAGATATTCAAAAAATTTTAATTTGAACGCAGTTGTTACAAAAACTAACTGCCTCATCAACTTCAAATGTATTTTTCTTAATACACAAAACATTTGTAGATAAGCATAATTTTTTTTTTACAATTTTTGGTCTATCTGTTTCTCCAAAATCGACCTGAAGATGTCCTTTAACAAAAGTGCCATCTTTGATAAGTAATTTTAATTTGTGGCCCCAATTTTGGTCTGATATTATCAGTATGATATATTTTTCGATTCATCTCATCCAGATTTACCAGTAAGAATTTTTTGGCGAATTTTTGTGCACTTTGAAAAAAAAAATGTTTTGATTCTTGATAAAGCTTAAAATTTTTTACTTTCCCTTTAAAGTCCCCAAAGAAATTCCAGAAAATTCTCGATGCTCAAGTGTAACCTCCTGAACATTGTTAATATACCAATTTTTTTTTTCGTTTCACAAAAAATTTCAATATGACATACGACAAATTTTGATATATTCTAAAAATTTGATTTTGAACCCAGTTGTTACAAAAACTAACTGCCTCACCAACTTCAAATGTTTTTCTCTTAATATACAAAACATTTCTAGATAAGCACAATTTTTTGTACGATTTTCGGTCTATCTGTTTCTCCAAAATCGACCTGAAGATGTCCTTTAACAAAACTGCCATCTTTGATAAGTAATTTTAATTTGTGGCCCCAATTTTGGTCTGATATTATCAGTATGATATATTTTTCGATTCATCTCATCCAGATTTACCAGTAAGAATTTTTTGGCGAATTTTTGTGCACTTTGAAAAAAAAATGTTTTGATTCTTGATAAAGCTTAAAATTTTTTACTTTCCCTTTAGAGTCCCCAAAGAAATTCCAGAAAATTCTCGATGCTCAAGTGTAACCTCCTGAACATTGTTAATATACCAATTTTTTTTTTCGTTTCACAAAAAATTTCAAAATGACATACGACAAATTTTGATATATTCTAAAAATTTGATTTTGAACCCAGTTGTTACAAAAACTAACTGCCTCACCAACTTCAAATGTTTTTCTCTTAATATACAAAACATTTCTAGATAAGCACAATTTTTTGTACGATTTTCGGTCTATCTGTTTCTCCAAAATCGACCTGAAGATGTCCTTTAACAAAACTGCCATCTTTGATAAGTAATTTTCAATTGTGGCTCCAATTTTGGTCTGATATTATCAATATGCTATATTTTTCGATTCATCTCATCAAGATTTACCATTAAGAATTTTTTTTGCGAATTTTTGTGGACTTTGAAAAAACAATTTTTGGATTCTTGACAAAGGTTAATTAATTTTTGACTTTTTCTTAAAAGTCCCCAAGGAAATTCCAGAAAATGTGTGATGCTCAAGTTCAATCTCCTGAACATTGTTAATATACCAATTTTTTGAAATTTCCTATCGTTTCACAAAAAATTTCAAAATGACATACAACAAATTTTGACATATTCTAAAAATTTGACTTTCAACCCAGTTGTTACAAAATCTAACTGCCCCATCAGTTTCATTTTTTTTTTCTTTAATTCATAAAACATTTCTACGTAAGCATAATTTTTTTTACAATTTTCGGTCTACCTGTTTCCACAAAATCGACCTGAAGAGGTCCTTTAGGAAAAGTGCCATCGTTGACAAATAATTTCCACTTGTGGTTCCAATTTTGGTCTAGAATTATCAGTGTACTATATTTCTCTATTCAGCTTGTCAAGATTTATCAGTCAGAATTTTTTTACGAATTGTTGACAATTTGTAAAAAAAAAACGTTTTTTGGATTCTTGATGGAGCTTAAAATTTTTAACGTTCCATTGAAACTTCGCAAAAAAATTTCAGAAAATTCTCCTTACACAAGTTTAAATTCTTGAATATGCCCATTTTTTGAAATTTTCTATTGTTTCACAAAAATTGCCAAAATGACACGACAAATTTTGAAATATTCTAAAAATTTGACTTTGAATCCAGTTGTTACAAAAACTAGCTGCCCCATCAAATTCATTTTTTTTTCTTTAATTCATAAAATATTTCTACGTACGCATGATTTTTTTTACAATTATTATTATCAATTGCTATAAGTAAAAATCACAAAAGAAAAACAACTATAGAGTCTGAAACAACAACTTTGCAGTGATTTTAATTTCGAACACACAGCTTTATTTCAATTCCACGCACCGTTTATAAGAGACAATATTTAATCACAGCCACAATTTTATTACTTTTTAATTAGTAGCAGCAACGGGTTATTTCGATTTTGTTCACAATTCAAAACAATCCAGAACACGTTAAATAAACACGTCGTTAAATAAACATTCAATAAGATTTTATAGTAAAATACCGCAAACACGATTACCTTTTTGTTGCAATGTATTTTTGTGTGTTTAATCAGGTACTAAAAATTCTCTTACGTCTTAAAAAAAACTGGAATTATGTGATGAATAATCAAATTTTATATTCAATTACAAGCACTGCTACTACATACTAAAACCTAAGTTAATAAATCCTACAACTAGAAAAACAAAACCTAATAAATGTACAACTCTTATTACAACCTACAACCTAACGTCAACACAAGTCAGCTTTTGCAAGTTCTTCTTTAACACACAGCAAAGTATTATTGACTTCTCTTTCGAAGTCCGTGACTGTGTCCAGCGCTTCGTTCATCAAACAAAGCGGTAAAAGTATCACGGTGGCAGTAGCATTAGTGAGAAGTTCCACATGTGCAGAAAAGTCCATCAAAAACATCCTTTCTTCAGCGATTAACTGCACCAACGCGTGAAATATCTCCACACTTCTGATATGCTCAACGTAGTTCTTCACAGATGAAAGTACTCCTTCGACATCGACGACAGAACCCATGAAATTGACCTTCATCTGATCCAGAGGAGAAAATATGCACGTCCGTGGTTCATTTAGCATCCTTTGTGGTACGCTAGCCAGAGAACTAACATGTCGATTGAAACACTCAGGTACTATATTGGTAATATTCCGTCTATAAAGATCAGCAAATTTTATAAGAAGTTGAAACCAATCGATTTGGTTTTTGTGGTGATTTATTTCCAAAACATCTCGAACCGTGTTCAAGGTGGTGTTTACACTAGTACGAGCAAAAGTTGAAAGTTTTTCAATGCCCAGTTGAAGTAGGTTGGTACTTTCCGCTTCTAGGTGAAAATTTGGAACAAATAAGAACTAGAAGAAAAGAATTAGTTGCTACAAAAATTTCAAATTTACTTACTAGTGTTATAAACATCCAGGACAAAGAATGTCTAATCATGGTTATTTTGTTACTTTGTTGTACAGACTGAATAAATAAGCATGATAGTGAGTACTTCGTGACCATGAATACGAAATTCGGTGGTATCGCATTTAAATAAGTTTATTTTTTTGTTGCTTGCTTTGTAGAAAATTCGAGGTTTATAACTGCTAGCGTTGAAGGTTTAATTAGCTATTTATAAGTGCAGGTTTTTATGTTTCTATTTATTTCACTTTAATACAGCTGTGGTGGACGAAAGTAGTACCCGACAAAAAAGTATATATTTTGTTTATTGTTACCAAGAACAGATAAGATAACAATTCTCATAAATGCAGCGAACAAAGACGTAAATTTATTGAAGGTAGTACTGTACATTCTAGAACTATAAAGCGACCAATCTATCTCCAAATCTGTTTCTAACTCATACCTCTCTTACAACACTCTATGGTATTATTCCACTCGAACCGAACTTGGTGGACCACCTCTTCAGTTTCGTCGACGAAGCATCGTGGTACGCCTACCATACCCAGAGTACGATTAAAAATAAAATTCATCCGCCCCACGAAATCATCGACGTACTCTTTTTCTTTAGCAACTAAGCTTACAAGAGCAAACATTTGATTATGTTTCGACAGACGATCGACGATCTCTTGCAAAGTCACGTACGACTTGCGTACATCGTCGACACTAGTACCGACGTCACTAGCTATTTTTCCAAACGGATCAAAAACACATTTGTTTGGTTCGTGAAAGAACCGGTCTTCCAAATTTTGGAAACTCTTCATGTGAAGAACGAAACAGTTTGGTGTCACGTACAGAAACCTGAAGAGTTTTTGGACACCAAAGATGTTGATGTGGTACGACTTCAAGGTGTCTTCTATTCGCTGAAAGAAGGTGAAGTGGTTGTTGACGGAAATTGTAGTACTGAGAGGGGTTGTGGCACCTTCATCTTCGGGGGTTTGGTCTTTTGCAGGGTGGCAACGATGTGGTGTCAACATGAACTAGAAGTTGCGGAATTACGAAAGATTCGTGAATTATTGTGCTTACTTACGCATAGAAGATACACAGAACAGAAGACGGATTTCAACATGGTTTGACTTTGTTCTCCGGAATGGAGTGACCATGAAAGTAGTAAATTAGGACGGCGAGTAATTGGGGTAAAATATGCGCATACTGTTGCAAAGGTCTTGGAAAAAAATGTCTTACGTGGTTGGGTGGTTTAGTGTTTTTAAAAAGTTCAAAGTCAACTTCTGACGATAATATATGTCAAAACTGTTTCGTTATCTGTTGACTTATCGGTGTAAGCGGCTGATTATATGGAAATGCGAGAAAATTATGGAAAAGGACACTGTTTATGTCATAGTGCTGACGAACTGAAATAAGTTACATTGTAAGTACATTTTAGGATTTAATGACATTTCTAAGGCTGAATTGAAAAGTGGTCGGATTTCCATCTGTTATTCTTATTCGAGGTACTTTATTTAAGAAATATTTTTCAAAAGCACTCCTGGTTGGTCTCTGAGGTAAAGTAGATTCTGTTCTGCTACTGAAAACTCTCACGACGTCACTATCTAGAATTAAAATTCAGAAACCAGTTTTTCTAGGGGAGCTATAGTGTGAACTTTTTCTGAAAGCTGTTGATTTAAATGTGTAACTTGGAATGTTAACAACCATGGTCAAGATGGACGTACTTTGAAATTATTTAAACCAAACAAAAACAACAATACGTGGTAGTTATGTGACGGGGGTGCTGGCTCATTCTTTTGGAAATTTACATGTGAAATGGTAAAAATTTCAGAATTTTTTCAAAACAATCTACGGGTGCGTTTTCTGTCTAACTACTGGTCAGGTCAAATCAGGTCAGGTCAGATTTTATTTTAAAGGATTTTCAGGATTTATTTGATGATTTTTCAACGATTTTTGATGTTTCTAATAAATTTTGGGCGATCTTTTGATGATATATTTTTTTTTATGTGCCCACTTACCGTGATCGAGCAGTACAGCCAATTTAGGACGTCTGAAAACAAAATATTTTTAAAGTTTTTGGGGATTTTTATTTTTTCGTATTTCAAATTTTTAGTGGTGTATGATCTTATAGATGATGATCTTAAAAAATTTGCGTTTATTTGGTAACGTTTAGACATTTTCCGATGTGTCCAGTTGCCGTCAAGAACCAGTTTAGGCTTCCTAAAGGCGAAAGATTTTTTACAAGATTTTGAGGATCTTTTGGAGATTTTTAACAATTTTTCCTTGTACCCATTTTTTGTGGTTTATAGATCTTAAGATTCTTCTGAGGGTATTTAAAAATAGGGGCATTTTAAAGGAATTTTGGTAATTTTTCGTGATTTTTCAACGATTTTTTTCATATTTCCAATTTTTGGTGTTCTGTGGTCTTTGAAAAAATGAATATTTTTGATGACTTCTAATAAATATTGGACAGTTTTTTGAAGATATTTATTTATTTTTTATGAACCCAATTACCGTGGTTCAGAAGTACCGCCAATTTAAGATGTCAGAAAACCAAAGATTTTTTAAATTTTTGGGGATTTTTTGGTGATTTTTAACTATATTTCATGTAACTATTTTTTTGGGGTTTTTATATCTTAAGATTCTTTTGGGGGTGTCTAAAAATTGGGGCATTTTAAACGATTTTGAGGCATATTTTTGTGTTTTTTTCAACGATTGTTTCATATATCAAATTCTCGGTAATATATGATCTTATAAATGATGATCTTAAAAATTATGGGCGTTCATTAGGTAACATTTAAACTGAAAGCAAAAGATGTTTTACAAGTTCGCGAAGATCTTTTGGTGGGCTTTAACTCATTTTTCATGTACCCAATTTTTTGTGGTTTTTAAATCTTAAGATTATTTTGAGAATATAAAAAAAATTTAAAGGATTTTTAGTAATTTTTCGTGATTTTTCAACGATTTTTTATAATTCCAATTTTTGGTGGCCTGTAGTCTTTGAAAAAAAAATGAAGATTTTTGGTGATTTCTATTAAATTTTGGGTGGTCTTTTGATGATATTTATTTATTTTCCAATTTAGGGTGTCTGAAAATATTTTTTTTTATTTTTGGTTGTTTTTCCCAAGTTTTCGAGGTTTGTAGATCTTAAGGTTCTTTTGGGGGTGTCTCAAAATTGGGGCATTGTATGATCTTACAAATGATGATATTAAAAAATTATATTCGTACTTTTGGTAACATTTAGACATTTTTTCATGTGTCCAGTTGTCGTGAGTGAGAAGTCAAAAGCCAGTTTAGGGTGGCTGAAAGCAAAAGATTTTTTACAAGTTGTTAAAGATCTTTTGGTAATTTTTAACTATTTTTTCATGTACCCAATTTTTTGTGGTTTATAGATATTAAGATTCTTTTCAGGATGTTTAAAAACTGGGTCATTTTAAAGGATTTTTAGTAATTTTTCGTGATTTTTCAACGATTGTTTTCATATTTCCAATTTTTGGTGATCTGTGAAAATAGTATGTTTTTTAAGTTTTTGAGGATTTTTTGGCGATTTTTAACTATTTTTTTGTGAACCCAAGCTTTCGAGGTTTATAGATCTTAAGGTTTTTTTGGGGGTGTCACAAAATTGGCGTATTTTAAAGGATTTTGAGGCACATTTTTGTGATTTTTCAACGATTTTTTTCATATTTCAAATTTTTGGTGGTGTATGATCTTATAAATGATGATCTTGAAAATATGGGCGTTGTTTTGGTCACTTTGAGACATTTTTCCATGCGTCTAGTTGCCGTAAGTGAAAAATCAAAAGCCAGTTTAGAGTGCCTGAAAGCAAAAGATTTTTTACAAGATTTTGAGGATCTTTTGGTGGTTTTTAACTGTTTTTGCCCATTTTTTGTGGTTTATAGATCTCAAGCTTCTTTTTGGAGTTTCTCTAAATTCATCAAATCATTTTAAAAAATTTTGAGACACTTTTTCGGGATTTTTCAACAAATTTTTTATGTTCCCAATTTTTGGTGGTCTGTAGTCATTTAGGATTATTCGGTACAAAATTAAAAAAAAATGAAGATCCTTGGTGATTATTAATAAATTTTGCTTGTTCTTTTGGTGATATTTAGTCAAATTTTATATGTGCCTAATTGCCGTGGTTGATAAGTAAAAATCAAATTTAGTATGTTTGAAAACAAAATATTTTTTAAAAGTTTTTGAGAATTTTTTCGTGGTTTTTAACCATTTTTTAAGGTATCCAATTTTTTGTGATCTAAAGACCTTTAGTTACTTTTGGAGTGTCCAAAACTGGATCAATCTAAAGAATTTTGAGGCACTGTTTCGTGTTTTTTCAACGATTTTTTCGTGTTCCAAATTTTTGGTTGTCTATTATATTATATAATTCCCTACAAGATTTTGAAAAATATAGATTTTTGGTGATTATTAATAAATTTTGGGCATTCTTTTGGCTTTTATTTTTATATGTGGTCAACTGTCTTGATCGAGAAGTAAAAAGCCAGTTTAGGATGCCTGAAAACGAAAGACTTCTTTAAAGTTTTTGAAAATTTTTTGGTGATTTTTGACTCTTTCTTCATGTATCTAACCAATTTTCTGTGGTTTATAGATCTTAAGATTATTTTGGAGGTGTCTTAAGACTGGATCATTTTAAAAGATTTTGAGTAGATCTTTCGTAATTTTTCCACAATTTTTTCCATATTTCCAATTTTTGGTGATCTGTGCTTTTTTAGGATTCGGTACAAGATATTTAATTATTTTTTGTGTATCCAGTTTCCGTGGTCAAGAAGTAAAAAGCCAGTTAAAATGTCTAAAAGCAAACGATTTTTTAAAAGTTTTCGAGGATTGTTTTGTGATTTTTAACCATTTTTTGATGTACTCAATTTTTTTGTCATCTCTAAATATTTGGTCGCTTTTGGTGTGTCTAAAAATTGGTTCATTTTAAAGGAGTTTGAAGGCACTATTTCGTGATTTTTCAACGATTTTTTTTTTTTTGTTTTATATGATCTAGGATTCGGAACAAGATTTTGAAAAATGAAGATCTTTGGTGGTTATTAATAAATTTTGGGCGTTCTTTTGATGGCATTTATTTATTTTTTATGTTATCAACTGTCTCAATTTAGGATGTCTGCAAATAAAAGGATTTTTTGAAGCTTTTGAGAATTTTTGGGTGATTTTTGACTATTTCTTCATGTACTACCTTCTTAAGGTTATTTTGGAGGTGTCCCAAAATTGGGTCCTTTTAAGGGAGTTTGAGGCCTTCATAATTTTTCAAATGTCACTATTTTTTGGTTCTCTATTGTCTTCTAGGATTCGGTACAAGATTTTGAAAAAAAGAATTATTGATTATTTGTAAATTTTTAGTGTTCTTGTGGTGGCACTTATTTATTTTTTATTCCCTTAGTCGAGAAATAAAGAGCCAATTTAGGATGTCTGAAAACAAGACTTTTTTTAAGTTTTTGAGAATTTTCGGTGATTTTTGACTATTTCTTTCATGTACTCAATTTTTTGTGGTTTATAGATCCTAAAGTTCTTTCGGAAGTGTCTAAAAATTGGATCATTTTGAAGGATTTTGAGTCATTTTTCGTGAGTTTTCAACGATGTTTTTCAAATTTCCAATTTTTGCTGGATTCAGTATAAGATTTTAAAAAATTAAAGCTCTTTGGTGATTTCTAATAAATTTTGTGTGCTCTTTAGGTGATTGATTTATTTATTACGTGCTCAATTCCGTTGTTCGAGAAATAAATGCCAATTTAGGATGTCTGAAAACAAGACTTTTTTCAGTATATTGAAAATGTTTTGGTGATTTTTGACTATTTCTTTCATGTACTCAATTTTTTGTGGTTTATCAATCTTAAGGTTCTTTTGGAAGTGTTTAAAAATTGGATCATTTTGAAGGATTTGGAGTTGTTTTTTCAACGATGTTTTCCAAATTTCCAATTTTTGGTGCATTCGGTACGAGATTTTGAAAAAATGAAGATCTTTGGTGATTTGTAATAAATTTTGTGCGCTCTTTTGGTAACATTTAGTCATTTTTTATATGCTCAATTGCCATGGTTTGGAACTAAAAAGCAAATTTAGGATGTCTGTAACAAAGAATTATTTTGTGATTTTTTACTACTTTTCCTTTTGCCCAATTTTTAGTGCTTTATAGATTTTAAGGTTCTTTTGGGTTTGAAAAATTCTGACAATACTTGCTTTGATATCGCATCCAATGCATTAATTGACGAAAATAAAACAAATAGAACAACGACAAAATCAAGGCGGATTCATAAACAACACGTACAAGTGTAGGCTATTTTGTAAAATACATATAAAAAAGATTTTGTCTACATTTAATCTCCACGTTGTGCATCTACAGAACTAGCGGAACATCGAAAATGTTAAATATTTATGTTATTACAAGACAAAAACACAGCTTGAAGCTGTTATCGTCAGAACCTATAATCCAAGTGTAAAATTCCGCCAGAAGAAACCACCGCTAGAACGCGTGCCACATAAGCCAAACCCAAAGCAAAATCACATGGAAAGTCCATAAATGACGCTACTTTGACGCTTTGTCATTTAATAAATTCAAATGAACCTACACTTGCGAAACTCGCCTTTTCGTAACCGTGAATATCAATAAGTCTTAAAACCAACTTGTCTTATTTTTTACTCTAAATTGCCATAAACGCGTCAAAATTACCATATTCTCCACGAACTGGTCTTGATAGTGACACCACAGACCACAGTACAAATGTAACACCATTAAGCCTTCAATTTTTTTTTAGAAACCACAGCGGCCTAATGACCTTACTACAACTCCTTAGCACCGTGGTCATCAATCATTTTTTTCCATCGCTACAACCGCATTACATAACTCAACAATTAATCTCTGAATTATTCAAATCAAAAATGATCCATTCGTAAGAGGCAGGCCAAAGTCCGTCGACCACAATTCCATTTTTTTCACCGACCTTCAGCACCTCTTGTAATTATAATTAATGTGACGTATCTAAGCAAAAACTTGTTTCAGATTGGAGATACTCGGGATTTCACCTGGACCAGCTGATAAAGGTGAGTTAGCGATAACCCACAATTTCCATATTAAAAAAGGCCGTCTGGAATGAGTCGGCGCTAATTGCATCTTTAATATGAGCATAATTAAATCGACGAGCTTGCACAATCGCAGGAAGTGGTTGTGTAATTATAATTACCGCAAATACATGCAGATCGTGGCAGAGATAGCGCTAATGAGGGATAAAGTGCGCGATTTTTCGAAAATTTTCGAAAAGTCGGGGGGAAGGGGGGGGTTTGGTGACGGCATGGGTTGTTCCATGGGTTTGATGGTGGGTTGAGGCTTGGTTCTCTGGGTCGTCCTCATCCTTGAACTTGTGGAAATGGATATCCTTCAGCTATCTACTTCCATATAAAAGAGTGGTGGCCGCTGTGTGAGGCAGAGTACGTGCAAAAGTCGCCAAAGCATCATCATGAAAGCTTTTATTGTTCTCGTAGCAGTGGCCATCAGTGTCCAGGTGAGTTTATTTTTTTCTATTTAACTAAAAATTTTTATTATATGTATATGAGTTGTTTGAATATTTTTGCAAATTTTCTCAATTTTCGACCATTTTTTTTTGTTTGTTTCTCATAAACTGCCAACAAGAACATTGTTCGAATTTTTCAAAATTTAACTTTTTGGAATTTTACTATCGTTTGTTTCTCTTTTATTTTATTTGTTTTTATTTTTATTTACTTGTTTTCGATATTTTTTGAAAAATAAAAAAAAAAGAAATCGCAGAAGTTAAACGTAGCTTGAGTTACCAAATATTTAGTGACAAGTAAATAAACACGAAATATACATTAACCTGAATTAAAAATGTCTCTGAAAATTCCATAATACTTTCTTTCTAAAATCCGTAACAATGTTAAAAGAGAAAGGTTGAACGAATATTTATGTGACGATGCAAGTTATTAATCAATTCAAAAAATAACCTTTTACTATTTTTTTTTTTTGTAAAACGGAACAATTTTTTTCACAGCGCTAATTCAAATTTTCAGTATTTCGATTTTCAAATTTTCCGTTTAATCAATTTTTGATTAGCAATTTTTCTAGTTTTCATTTTAAATATGTAATACTTTCATAATTTTAAAATTTTTCACTTTTTCAATTCTACGATTTTACAAGTTTTCCAATTTTCAATGATCGATTTTAAAACTTTTTCATTTATTCGATTTTTAAATTTTTCGACTTGATGACGTTACAATTTTTAGGATCCTATAACTTTTTAAATTTACATTTTTTCGATTTTTCATTTATTAAATTTAATTCGTTCTTTCTTTCCAATTTTTGTTCCTTTAGTTCTCGATTTTTAAGTTTCTCGATTGTTGTGTTTTCAATGTTTCTATCTTTCGTTTCTTCAGTTCTTCGAATTGCAATTGTACGATTTCGCAATTTCTCGTTTTTTAATTGTTGATTATTTAGTTTTCCGGTTTCTGATTTTTCAATTTTTCAATTTTTAAGTGCAAAATTCCAAATTCAGAAAATTGAAAAATCCAGAATGAATAAACGAAAACGTATGAAATGAAAACTTTGATAATTCTAAAAATTGGGCATCAAGAACCTGAAAAATTGAAGAACCGAAAAATGGAAAATCGAAAAAACGAAATATTGAACTTTCCCATTTATTCGATTTTTCAATTTTTCAATTTTTAATTACATATTTTTTTTTAATTTCTCGATATTTAACTTTTCAGTTTTATAATCTTTAATGTCACAGTTTTCCGACATTACAATTTTGACGATCACATAATTTTTTTAATTTTACAATGTTTGGATTTCCAATTTTTGGATTCGATTCGTTTTTCCTTATTCCCAATTTTTGGTTTCATTAATTTGTTCAATTTTTTAATTTTTCGAATTTTGATTTTTAAATTTTTCAATGTTTTATTGCAAAATTCCAAAATCAGAAAATTGAAAAATCAAAAATACGAAAACGTATGAAATGAAAACTTTGATAAATCTAAAAACTGGGCATCAAGAACCTGAAAAATTGAAAAACCGAAAAATGAAAATTCGAAAAAACGAAATATTGAACTTTTCCATTTATTCGATTTTTCAATTTTTCAATTTTTAATGACATATTTTTTTTTAATTTCTCGATATTTAATTTTTCAGTTTTTTAATCTTTAATGTCACAGTTTTCCGACATTACAATTTTGACGATCACATCATTTTTCTATTTTACAATGTTTGGATTTCCAATTTTTGGATTCGATTCGTTTTTCCTTATTCCCAATTTTTGGTTTCATTAATTTTTTCAATTTTTTAGTTTTTCGAATTTTGATTTTTAAATTTTTCAATGTTTTATTGCAAAATTCCAAAATCAGAAAATTGAAAAATCAAGAATGAAAAAACGAAAACGTATGAAATGAAAACTTTGATAAATCTAAAAATTGGGCATCAAGAACCTGAAAAATTGAAGAACCGAAAAATGGAAAATCGAAAAAACGAAATATTGAACTTTTCCATTTATTCGATTTTTCAATTTTTCAATTTTTAATTACATATTTTTTTTTAATTTCTCGATATTTAATTTTTCAGTTTTTTAATCTTTAATGTCACAGTTTTCCGACATTACAATTTTGACGACCACATCATTTTTCTATTTTACAATGTTTGGATTTCCAATTTTTGGATTCGATTCGTTTTTCCTTTTTCCCAATTTTTGGTTTCATTAATTTTTCAATTTTTTAGTTTTTCGAATTTTGATTTTTAAATTTTTCAATGTTATATTGCAAAATTCCAAAATTGGAAAATTAAAAAATCAAGAATGAAAAAACGAAAACGTATGAAATGAAAACTTTGATAAATCTAAAAATTGGAAATCGAGAACTTGAAAAATTGAAGAAACGAAAAATCAAAAAGTCAAGAGAATAGAAATTTTTCCATTTTTCAGTTATCGGATTTTAAAACTTTTCCATTCTTTCGTTTTTTCAATTTTTATTTATTTTTTTTTAATTTTCCTATATTTGATTTTTCAGTTTTTTGATCTTCAATATCAGTTTTTCGATTTTGCAATGTTTGGATTTCTAATTTTTGAATCCATTCGTTTTTTCTTCTTTCCAATTTTTGGTTTCATTAATTTTTTCAATTTTTTAGTTTTTCGATTTTTGATTGTTAATGTTTCCATTTTTTATTGCAAAATTCCAAAATTGTAAATTTGGAAAATCAAAAATGAAAAAACGGAAACGTATAAAATGAAAACTTTGAAAAATCTAAAAATTGAAAATGAAAAATCGAAAGCTTAAAAATCGAAAAAACGAAATATTAAACTTTCCCATTTTTCACTTGTTGGATTTTAAAACTTTTTCATTTATTCCATTTTTCAATTTTTCACTTTTTAATTACATATTTTTTTTTAATTTTTCGATATTTAATTTTTCATTTTTTTAATCTTTAATGTCACAATTTTCCGACATTATAATTTTGACGATTGCATAATTTTTCTATTCTACAATGTTTGGATTTCCAATTTTTGGATTCGATTCGTTTTTCCTTCCTCCCAATTTTTAGTTTCATTAATTTTTTCAATTTTTTAGTTTTTCGAATTTTGATTTTTAAATTTTTCAGTGTTTTATTGCAAAATTCCAAAATTGGAAAATTGAGAAATCAAAAAAAAAAACGAAAACATGAAATTATAACTTTAATAAATCTAAAAATTGGAAATCAAGAACTTGGAAAGTCGAAGAAACGAAAAATGAAAAAATCAAGAGAATAAAAATTCAAAAAGTTCAAAATCGAATACGCGAAGTATTAAACTTTCCCATTTTTCAGTTATCGGATTTTAAAACTTCTTCATTTATTCGTTTTTTCAATGTTTCAATTTTTAATAATTTTCTTTAATTTACCTATATTTGATTTTTCAGTTTTTTGATTTTTAATATCAGTTTTTCGATTTTACAATGTTTGGATTTCTAATTTTTCGATTCCATTCGTTTTTTCTTCTTTCCAATTTTTGATTTCATTAATTTTTTCAATTTTTTTGTTTATCGATTTTTGATTTTTAAATGTTTAAATTTTTTATTGCAAAATTCCAAAATCGTAAACTTGGAAAATTAAAATTGAAAAACGGAAACGTATAAAATGAAAACTTTGAAAAATCTAAAAACTGAAAATGAAAAATCGAAAGATTAGAAATCGAAAATGTTCAAAATCCAAAAAACGGAATATTAAACTTTCCCATTTTTTGCTTATTGGATTTTAAAACGTTTTCATTTATTCGATGTTTCGATTCTTCATTTTTTTTTTCAATTACTCGATATTTAATTTTTTGGTTTTTTGATCTTTATCACAGTTATTCGAGTTTACAATGTTGATTATAATTTTTCGATTTTACAATTTTTAGATTTCCAATTTTTCGATTCGATTCGTTTTTTTCCTGTTTCCAATTTTTCGTTTCATGAATTTTTAAAGTTTTTCAATTTTCCGATTCAAAAAAATGATAAAACTACAAAGTTGTAAAATTAAAAAATCAAAAATTAAAAACCAAAAAGGATAAAAAATTTTGTCGATTTTTATTTTTTCGATGTTTCGATTTTTCGCTTCTTCAGTTCTTCGATTTGCAATTTTATGATTTTGCAATTTTTCGTTTCCTTAATTTTCGATTTTTCACTTTTTTTAGATTTTTTAATTTTTTTGATTTTTGATTTTTAAATTTGTCAATATAAAATGAAAACTGAAAAATGTAAAAATCGAAAGATTAAAAACTGAGAAACTTAAAAATCGAAAAATTCAGAATCGAAAGAACATTTTTCAAGTATTGGATTTTTATTTTTATTTTTATTTTAATATCTCGATATATAATTTTTCAGTCTTTCAATATTTAATGTCACAGTTTTTTGACTTTCCACTTTTGACGATTATAATTTTTCGATTTTACAATGTTTGAATTTCCAATCTTCCGATTCGATTCGTTTTTTCTTCTTTACAATTTTTGGTTTCATAAACTTTTTCAATTTTTCAATTTTCGACTTAAAAAATGGGAAAACTAAAAAATCAAAAATTAAAAAACCAAAAAGGATAAAAATTTTTTCGATTTTAATTTTTGAATGCTTCGATTTTTCGTTTCTTCAGTTGTTCGACTTGCAATTGCAATTTTTCGTTTCTTTAATTTTCGATTTTTCACTTTTCTCGATTTTTTAGTTTTTCAATTTTTGATTTTTAAATTTTTCAATTTTTTACTGCAAAATTAAAAGTTAGAAAAATGGGAAATCAAAAATGACAAAACGAGAACCTATAAAAAGAAAACGGAAAAATCAAAAAATTAAAGAAGCGAAAAATTGAAAAATCGAAAGATAAAAACCTGAGAAACTTAAAAATCGAAAAAACGAAATATTGAACTTTTTATTTTATTTTTTTCATGTATTCGATTTTTCAATTTTTTTTTTTCAATTTGTCGATATTTAATTTTTTAGTTTTTTAATCTTTAATGTCGCAGTTTTTCGAATTTTCGATTCGATTCGTTTTTTCTTCTTTTTAATTTTTCTTCTTTTTAATTTTTCGTTCCATTAATTTTTAAAATTTTTCATTTTTCGAATCAAAAGAAAGTGGACAAACTGGAAAATTTTAAGTTTAAAAATCAAATATTAAAAAAGCAAAAAGGATAAAATGTCTCTTGATTTTTATTTTTTCAATGTTTCGATTTTTCGTTTCTTCAAAATGAAAACTTTGAAAAATCAGAAAATTAGAAATTGAGAAACTTAAAAATTTAAAAGGGTAAACTCGAAAAGACGAAATATTGTAAAATCGAAATAACGAAAATTAAAAACATCGGAAAATTGGATAAATGAGTAATTAAAAAATTGCAAAATGAAAAAATTTAAAAATTTAAAAATCGAGGAACTGAAAAAATAAAGGAAATCAAAAAAACGAAAAATTAAGGAAGCGAAAAATTGTAAAAGTTGAAAAAACGATAAAATGTAATATCAACAAATTTGACGAAAGTACATAAATCGAGTACTTTTTAGACATAAACAAATTTTCCAGCCATCACAACACCGAAAAATTCCTAAATCGTTTTATTAAAACCAACTTCACGCTTGACTACCACTAAAATCAAACAACAACTACAAAAACAATAAACACACTAAACCGTTTTTTGCCAATTCGGCAAGGTTAAACCACAAAACCCAACCATTGACAAAACCTCAAGCTAACCCGAAACTCAATTACTCAATTGCAGGCTCTCACCGACGAGCAAAAAGAAAAAATCAAGACCTATCACAAGGACTGCGCGGCGGCCTCCGGCGTGGACCAGGACCTCGTCGCCAGGGGCCGCAAGGGCGACTTCGTGGACGACCCCAAACTCAAGGAGCACCTCTTCTGCGTGTCGAAGAAAGCGGGCTTCCAGAACGACGCCGGTGACGTCCAGACCGAGGTCCTCAAGGCGAAGCTGAACGCCGAATTGAAGGACCAGGAAGTGACCAACAAACTCGTCGAGAAATGCGCCGTTAAGAAGGCCACACCGCAGGACACCGCGTTCGAGTCCTTCAAGTGTTACTACGAGAACACCCCACACCATATCTCTATTGCTTAATTTGCTGTGAAAAGTAGTTTTAACGGAAGATTTTAATAAATAAGTAATGAGAAAGTACGTGTTTTGTTGGTTGCCTATCTGTTCATAGTTATTTCGGGTTAACAGTGTTTGGATTAAATTTATTGTTCATACAAGACACAAGGGGATAATTATTGGTTTTAAAACAGCTATGTCGATATTCGTTAAGTTTCTGTTTTATTTAAAAGCTCTGAAGGTAGTTAGTAGCTTAAAATTGCAGGAAGTACGTTTTGTATTTTTAAAACAACCATTACAAAAGATAACGAAGCGGACACGGATTTCATTATATAAGTACATTTTAATTACTTAATTGCAATATTAATCTTAATAAAGTAATATTAACTCTTCTGTGTGCGAAACAAGAAAAACCGGTCATAATAAATTAAGTAATAATTTGGCGGTGGAATGAACTACAGGTTGTTCTCACTCCAAATTACCTCTTAATGAGAAAATTAATTAAGTTTATGAAAATTAAAGTTCGGTTTGTAAATAAATAAAACTGTCTTGATTTTTCTTTAGTTTCACGAACTGTTTTTATGGTTGCCTGAATACTGCATAACATCATTTACAGAGTTGATTAACTGGGTTATTATTCCATTACTAAACACTTCTTAATAGAGCCGGATTTAAATTAATGTAATTAAATACCGGTGACTATTAATGTTTGTGGGTTTTTTGATCAAGTTGGTGGCATATTTAAAACCTGATGTCAAATTCAAATTTAGGCCACTAAATCGTAGTTGCCATCTCAAACAATAAATTACTGTTAAATTAGTAACAACTATGCTGTGTTTAAACATGATTTTTCAAACCAAGACTTAAAATCCACAGGACAAAATTTTCCAGTTCAGAATAAAAACTTTACTGAATCTCTAAAAGCTTTTTCGTTTCGATTTCTAACCGGATTCCTAGAAAATCTTGGCCCTGGACCATTAACAAGTTCTATTTTTCGAATCAAGACGTCGATATTTCTCAGAATTTGCGTTTTCCGAGCATCTTTCGAAAATTACTCGTAAACATTTTCTTGAATTTTTTGACCATTTTTCAAACACTTTTTCAAAATTACGAAAAGATGTTTCTTGCAAATTTCGACTTTTAAAAATTATTTTTGGTTTCACTTGTTAAAAAATTCCAAACAACTTTTCAAATTCCAACAATTTTTCCAGAATTGTTAAACTCCAAAATGTTCACATTACTTTAAAAATCACATTTTCTGACCAAATTTTTCGAAAATTTTGGTCCGGAACCATTGACAGGTTATGTTTTTCGACTCACGTCGTCAAAAGATAGTTCCCAGATTTTTTTGAGATTTTTTAGGCAACTTCTAGAAATTCTCACTTTTTCGAGTTTGAATTTTTTCACCGTTCTTCGAGCACTTTTCGAAAAACGGATTTTCTTGTAGGTTTCAACTATTAAAACTTCGGTTTCATTTCTTTGAAAATTCCATCAATTTTTCAAAATTCTAGCAGTTTTTTCAGTACTGATAAAATGGAAAATTGCGATTTCACACATTTCATTCTCAAACCGAATTTTTCGGAAAACTTGGTCCAGGACCATTAATAAGATATATTTTTTGACTCGGCTTATCGAAATATACTTCTCAGCTTTTTTGACGAATTTAAGGCAACTTTTCGAAATTCTCAATTTTTTCAAGGTAGGGATTTTTTGGCTATTTTTCGAACACGTTTTCAAAATTACGAAAAGGTGTTTTCTTGCAAATTTCGACTTTTAGAAGTTATTTTTGGTTTCACTTGTTGAAAAATTCCAAACAACTTTTTCAAATTCCAACATTTTTTTAGAATTGTTAAAATCCAAAATGTTCGCATTATTTTAAAAATCACATTTTCTGACCAAATTTTTCGAAAAGTTTGGTCCGGAACCATTGACTGGTTATGTTTTTCGACTCAAGTCGTTAAAAGATAGTTCCCAGATTTTTTTGAGAATTTTTAGACAACTTCTCGAAAATCTCAATTTTTCGAGTTTGAATTTTTTTCACCGTTTTTCGAGCACTTTTCGAAAACTACATAAACGGATTTTCTTGTAGGTTTCGACTATTAAAACTTCGATTTCATTTCTTTGAAAGTTCCATCAATTTTTCAAAATTCTAGCAGTTTTTTCAGTACTGATAAAATGGAAAATTGCGATTTCACACATTTCATTTTCAAACCGAATTTTTCCGAAAACTTGGTCCAGGACCATTAATAAGCTATATTTTTTGACTCGGCTTATCGAAATATACTTCTCAGATTTTTTGACGAATTTAAGGCAACTTTTCGAAATTCTCAATTTTTTCAAGGTAGGAATTTTTTGGCCACTTTTCGAACACTTTTTCAAAATTACGAAAAGATGTTTTCTTGCAAATTTCGACTTTTAGAAGTTATTTTTGGTTTCACTTGTTGAAAAATTCCAAACAACTTTTTCAAATTCCAACAATTTTTTTAGAATTGTTAAAATCCAAAATGTTCGCATTATTTTAAAAATCACATTTTCTGACCAAATTTTTCGAAAAGTTTGGTCCGGAACCATTGACTGGTTATGTTTTTCGACTCAAGTCGTTAAAAGATAGTTCCCAGATTTTTTTGAGAATTTTTAGGCAACTTCTCGAAAATCTCAATTTTTCGAGTTTGAATTTTTTTCACCGTTTTTCGAGCACTTTTCGAAAACTACATAAACGGATTTTCTTGTAGGTTTCGACTATTAAAACTTCGGTTTCATTTCTTTGAAAATTTCGTCAATTTTTCAAAATTCTAGCAGTTTTTCCAGTACTGATAAAATGGAAAATTGCAATTTCACACATTTCATTTTCAAACCGAATTTTTCCGAAAACTTGGTCCAGGACCATTAATAAGCTATATTTTTTGATTCGGCTTATCGAAATATACTTCTCAGATTTTTTGACGAATTTAAGGCAACTTTTCGAAATTCTCAATTTTTTCAAGGTAGGAATTTTTGGCTATTTTTCGAACACGTTTTCAAAATTACGAAAAGGTGTTTTCTTGCAAATTTCGACTTTTAGAAGTTATTTTTGGTTTCACTTGTTGAAAAATTCCAAACAACTTTTTCAAATTCCAACAATTTTTTTAGAATTGTTAAAATCCAAAATGTTCACATTACTTTAAAAATCACATTTTCTGACTAAATTTTTCGAAAAGTTTGGTCCGGAACCATTGACTGGTTATGTTTTTCGACTCAGGTCGTCAAAAGATAGTTCCCAGATTTTTTTGAGAATTTTTAGGCAACTTCTCGAAATTCTCAATTTTTCGAGTTTGAATTTTTTTCACCGTTTTTCGAGCACTTTTCGAAAATTACATAAACGGATTTTCTTGTAGGTTTCAACTATTAAAACTTCGGTTTCATTTCTTTGAAAATTCCATCAATTTTTCAAAATTCTAGCAGTTTTTCCAATACTGATAAAATGGAAAATTACGATTTCACACATTCCATTTTCAAACCGAATTTTTTGAAAATTAATAGGTTATATTGTTTGAATCAATTTATCGAAATGTATCTCTCAGAATTTTTCGAAAATTTCTAGGAAACTTCTCAAAAATCCTTTGTTTTTCAATTTAGGAATTTTTTCAGTATTTTTCGTGATTTCGAAACATATAAGTAAAAAAATGTATTTCCGAACTGATTTTTCCAAAAATCTTGATTCGGGACTATCAACAAGTTGTGTTTTTCGAATCATCTGGTCGAAATGTAGTTTCCAGATTTTTTTGAGTATTTTTAGGCAGCTTTTCAAAAATCTCAATTTTTTAATTTATGAAATCTTCACCGTTTTTCGCGCTTTCAAAATATTAAAAAAAAATCATTTCCCAAGAGAATTTTTCGAAAATCTTGGTCCGAGAACATCAACAGGTTTGATTTTTCGAATCAGCTTGTTTAAATATACTTTCCAGAATTTTTTGAGGATTTCTAGACAACTTTTCGAAATGCTCAATTTTTTAATTTTCGAAGTATGACTTTTTTGACATTTCCAAAATTACATAAAGATGTTTTCCTGTGGATTTCGACAATTAGAAGTTTTTTCGATTCCATTTCTTAGAAAGTTTTAACAATTTTTTCCAATTTCAACAATTTTTCTCGAACTAATAAACGGCGAAAAATGACAATTTCGAGATATTCAAAATTTTCATTTTCAAAGCGAATTTTCGAAAATTTTGGTTCGAGACCATCAACGGTTTACATTTCTCGAATCAGCGAATTTCGAATTTTTAGAAAATCAACTCGTAGAAATATATGTATTTCACAGATTTTTTTGAGTATTTTTAGGCAGCTTTTCAAAAATCCCAATTTTTCAATTAATGAATTCTTCACCGTTTTTCGCGCTTTCAAAATATATAAAAAAATCATTTCTAAAGAGAATTTTTCGAAAATCTTGGTCCGAGAACATCAACAGGTTAGATTTTTCGAATCAGCCTGTTGAAATATATTTTCCAGAATTTTTTGAGGATTTCTAGACAACTTTTCGAAATCCTCAATTTTTTAATTTTCGAAGTATGACTTTTTTGACATATCTAAATTTACGTAAAGATGTTTTCCTGTAGATTTCGACAATTAGAAGTTATTTTCGATTCCATTTCTTAGAAAGTTTTAACAATTTTTCCAAATTTCAACAATTTTTCTCGAACTAATAAAAGGCCAAAAATGACAATTTCGAGATATTCAAAATTTTCATTTTCAAAGCGAATTTTCGAAAATTTTGGTTCGAGACCATCAACGGTTTACATTTTTCGAAACAGCGAATTTCGAATTTTTAGAAAATCAACTCGTAGAAATATATGTATTTCCCAGAATTTTTTGAGGATTTTTGGGCAGCTTTTCAAAAATCTCAATTTTTTAATTTATGAATTCTTCACCGTTTTACGCGCTTTCAAAATATTAAAAAAAAAATCATTTCCAAAGAGAATTTTTCGAAAATCTTGGTCCGAGAACATCAACAGGTTAGATTTTTCGAATCAGCTTGTTGAAATATATTTTCCAGAATTTTTTGAGGATTTCTAGACAACTTTTCGAAATCCTCAATTTTTTAATTT